TTATTAATTATTAATTATTTATTATTTATTTTTATAAATCAAATTATATTAATTAATTAGGTTAACTTTAGGTCTAATCTTAACATTTTTTTTAATAAAATAAAAATAGCTAGAATTAGGTTTAATTTCCATAATCTTCTCATTAAAAATCCATAAATACAAAAAACTCCAAAAAAATCTTTTCTTTTTACTTTAATTTAATTAATTTGTTAATCATAATTTAATTTCCTAAAAAGGGTCCAACGCCCTCGCATCCGATCGTAATTCCAATTCGCGCGCTTATTTTATTTCCTCTTTTCATGTAATTCTCCCAAAGCCGTGTAAATTAGACATTTTATATTTCTCGCACTTTATTTTATTTTCAAATCGGGTCCTGGATTAAATTTGGCGATGTGGACCCGCGCCTTTGTAATAGCGTAGGAACTTTTAATTTCCGCATCTTTTTAACTATTAATAAAATTGCATGCAAGAATGAATGTTAAAATAAAAACAACGTGTAGATCACCAATTACATGAACAAGACAAAATATCTGAACATGACACACAAATCACACACCACCCCTAGGGTACGCCTCACTGTTGCCTTGCCCCTCGAAAGGTGATCGTCGAGTAGAAGATGTTTTAGTAAGTCCTTATGATCCGGGAACCTGGCATGAGGGTAGCTTCTAAGGTGTCTTCCTATTGCTCCGGTGATCACCACGTCCTGAACTTCGAATTGACCCGAATACCTCCAACGGTGGTGCTACCTACCTCTCAATGGTGGGATGGCACTACTTTAAGGACATCTACACAGACGAATTCCTTAGGGTAGGTAGACGACTCTGGATACTTGCTCTAATTTCAAAAACAAATCAAAAATACTTTTCACACCGACACCTTTTCAAAAAGCTTTCGAAAGCAATTTTTTAAACACTCTTGAGGACCGATACGAGATTCGAACTGGAATTTTCAAAGAAACTTTTTAAAACCCACAGTTGAAAAGCAAACAAACCATTTTGAAAACACAGATGAGCAAGTATCTAAGAGCCCATGGATAACCATGGATAGAAAGGGTGCTAACACCTTCCCTTTCTATAATCTACCTCCCGAACCGAGAGCAATCTCTATAAGGAATTTTTCTGTGCTTTTGTCCTTTCCATTTGGAGAAAATAAAAGACGGTGGCGACTCTTGCTTCCGCGACATTTCGCGAACCAGCGTTAAACAGTCAGTTCCAGATCCACCGATCACAGAACTGGCGACTCTGCTGGGGATATATAAAGTGAGGTGTACCTTAGGACTAAGATCACTTGTGTTTTCAATTGTCTGAATTGTTTGCTTTAAATTGTGGGCCTGTCTTGGGAGTTCTATAGATCCTAACCCGGATCTGGGGGATACCTTCTTAGAAAGTAGCAACAAGGCTGTGAGGGAACTGTGCGGGGTATACCGACATGGTTGAAACAGTCTGCTACGTTGATGTGGCACTTTGGTGTGTACCGGTAACCCTTGAGTTCAGTCAAGGAGAGTACGGGGCCTCCGCGTGGTGTCGTGAAGCATCAACAGACCTTAGGAACCTTAATTGAACTATCTTGGCCTCTTTAGGGTAGTGAGATAACTGACTTTGGTGCAGTCTGAGGTTGGTTGATACTCGATGCTACACTCAATTGAGGGTTGCTTTCCTGGAATATTTCGGTCGCCAGTTCAGCGGCTAAATCGAAACGATGAACAATGAAAGCAATCCCGTGATATTGGGACCCTTAGAACCCGGTTACTTCTGATAGGACAGGTTGAGCCCACCAACTTCAAAAGGGTACTACCCAGACCCCATGCTGGCCTAAACCCTAAGGGCTTGTCTTGTGTGACTTGTGTGCCTTACATGTTTGTCTTTGTAAATATCTGTGGTGTGTTTAATCATAGCATCATGGCATCATCCAGCATCATATGCATTGACTAACCATTTCAGGGGTTCGAATCTTCATCTTTGTTCTTGTTTTGTAGGACATGGAAACTGTTCGCAGAAAGACAATTCAAATCAGCCTTGTAAGGATCCCTCCTCAGCTTAAGGAACTTATATCCAGGATTCCCGAGAGCTCTTCATTCAGTGAGAGACATGGAAGACTCATCAGCTTGGTCAATACCAACATTAAGGAAGACATGATAAAGGTCCTGTTCCAGTTCTTTGACCCTCTGCATCATTGTTTCACCTTCTTGGATTATCAGCTGGTACCTACATTGGAGGAGTTCTCCCGGCTCCTGAAGATCCCTATCCTTGATCAACTACCCTACAACGGTACGGAAAAGGAACCCAAGCTTGAAGAGATTGCTAAAGCCTTACACCTACAATCATCTGACCTCAAGGGACATTGGGAAGTTAGAAGTGGTATCAAAGGGTTCTTAGCCAGGTTTCTGTTTGAAAAGGCCCATGAATGTTGGAACTCCCTTGACTTACAAGCTTTTGAAGAAGTTGTGGCCCTCCTTGTCTATGGTTTGGTGTTGTTCCCTAACCCAGATCAGCTTATAGATATCAGTGTTGTCCAGATCTTCATGTCCAGGAATCCTATACCTACGTTGCTGGGGGACATCCTTCACTCATGTTACACTCGAACCATGAGAAAAAGAGGTGTCCTTATGTGCTGCACTCCTCTCCTGGGAAGGTGGTTTATTTCGCACCTTCCACAATCAGCTTTGAAGAATGAGCGGGGTTTGAGATGGTCACAACGGTTGATGACTCTTACACATGCAGATATACATTGGTGCCCTCGGTCCAGAGAGGATGTTACTATCATTGATCGTTGCGGGGAGTACCCTAATGTTCCTTTACTTGGAATCAGAGGAGGTATTACTTACAACCCATGCCTGGCTTGGAGACAGTTTGGTTATGCTCGGAGGGATGGCCCTCATGACATGTTAATTCCTGACATAGTTTTTGACTTCGACAACGATGCACAAGGACTTCGCCAGAGATTTATCAGAGCCTGGAGGATGCCAAGTAGGATAGACAGCAAGACATTGGGGCACAGGAACTCCATCCCGTTGGAACCTTATCTCAAGTGGGTACGCGCCCGCTCCCAGAAGTTAGTAATGCCATATCCTCATGTGCTCCCCGTGATCAAAGAGCCAGTCTTGGAAGGAGAAGTGTCCTACACTATTCAACATCCTGACATGCCCACGTCCTGGGAAGAGATGTGGAAGAGCTGGATCCAGCTTAAGGAAGAACGGAATTCTCTTGAGACCAGTCTACATGCCAGTGAAAAGAAGGTCCTGGAGCTCACCCGCCTATTGCATGAGGAGAGGAATCTCAACACCTACATAGCTCCAAAGAGGATGCGTAGTGTCTTTTGGGATTGATTTTGCTTTGTAATTTGTGCCCACGAGGCCTTAGTGTACGGAACAATTATTTCCTTAATGATAACGTGTGTTCCTTTTTGTCTACAACAAATTTGAACTTTCGAACCCTTGAATGCATTGCATAAACACATATCATTCATCATGTGCATAACAGGTTTTCTTCTTTTCAGGTTGCTTACTGTTCTTTGCTGTTTATTTCAGCATCATGAATCCCGACTCATCATCAACCGAGATGTCCATCAAGGCTCTTCAGGCGCAAAATGCGCAATTTCAGGAACTAATCATGGGTTTGGCTCAGGGTCAAGAAGAGCTGAAGGCTCTGCTCCTGAAGAAAGAGAAGAAGAAGAAGAAGAAGAGAACTGTTCTTTTCAACTCGGGCCGAAGGTTTGGCAACACTCTGCAAAATGAAGAGGCTGGTTCTTCTATAGGCAAAAGCAGTCCCCAAGGGGGAAAAGGTCCTAGTCCGGTAGTCTCTGACAACGAGACTCATTTTGATGAGGAACAGTATCCTCCTGCAGAAGACAGATACAAGCAGTTGGAGGACAGACTGAATGCTATGGAGATCCAACAAGTGCCTGGGCTGGATTTTGGAGACTTGGGCTTATCTACTGGTGTGATCATTCCTCATAAATTCAAAGCACCATCTTTCACCAAATATGACGGAGCATCTTGTCCCAAGCTACATCTCAGATCCTACGTGCGGAAGATTCAACCGTACTCAGTGGACAAGAACTTGTGGATCCACTTCTTCCAGGAGAGTCTTTCAGGGACTCATCTCGAATGGTTCTATCAGCTGGATGAGACCAAGGTTCGTAACTGGGAGGAGTTGGCTACTGCTTTTTACAAGCAGTATCAATATAATGCCGACCTTTCCCCTACACGTACCCAACTCCAGGGTATGTCGCTAGGGTCAAGCGAAGGTTTTAAAGAGTACGCGCAGAAGTGGAGGGATCTGGCTGGCAGGGTGCAGCCTCCGTTGACTGACCGGGAGTTGGTAGACATGTTCTTGGGGACCCTATCTGGGCCATTTTTTAACCATCTTATCGGTAACTCATCTGCAGGGTTTATTGATCTTATTCTGACTGGAGAGCGAATAGAGGCTGGGATGAAGTCTGGTAAAATTCAGAAGGGTGCATCGTCAAGCTCTGAGAAGAAGCCCTTTAAAAAGGAGGCCAATGCTGTATACGGGTCTAGAAGACAAGAGAAACCTGAACGCCGCCAGTTTGTCAACGCGGTGATGATTGCTAAGCCTGTTGCTGCTCCTCGGCAAGCCAATCCTCCAAGGGCTGAAAGACCTAGAAGGGAGTTTACCCATTTGAGTATGACTTTATCGCAAATCTTGCTGCAGTTGCTGTCCACCAATCTAGTGACTGTCAGAGAGGCCCCAAAGGTTGTGAATACTGCCTCCCCCAAATACAATCCAAATGCCCGCTGTGCTTACCACTCCGATAGCCCGGGGCATTCCACTGATGATTGTTGGGCCTTAAGGAATAAGGTACAAGACCTTATTGACGCAAAAGAGATACAATTTGAAGCGCCTGAGAGGCCAAATGTGGTGACTGCTCCTATGCCCCAGCATGGAGTAAATGTTGTCGATGAAGATGTATACGCCGTTTCTGTGGATGATGTGGCTACTCCCTTAATGACTGTCAAGAGGAATCTACTGTTGGCCGGTTTATTTCCGGGTTGTAGTGAAGGTTGTCTTTTCTGTGCTGTTTCCCTCTCTGGTTGTCCTTTGCTGTGTAGATGTTTCTAGGGTGACAGACTCAAGAATGGTTTTAGTGACGGTGGCGACATTGAAATCTTTTGGAATATGTGCCCATCCTTTGACTTCAAACATCTCCTTCACATGAGGATCATTATAAAGGAGTTTAGCTAGTGTTGTTTTTCCTAACCCTCCCATACCCACAATGGAAATCACTCCTATTTTACTTCCACTATCACAACCATCCTCTAACAGCAAAAACTCTTTAAGTTTCTTTCTGTCATCGTCTCTGCCATAAATAGCAGATTCATCTCTCAAAAAAGGACTTGTAGGAGTTGCATTCCAAACACAGTTGGAATCACCTTCTTTCAATCCAAGATTTTGGTCTTTTAAATGTTCCAATCTTCCGAATAATTTTTGCAGTTTAGAATTGATCTTTTTATTAAACCTTTTAAAATAAGACAAAAACTTATTAAGAACCTGACCACCTTCAGCTTGACACCTTAAAGCTTCGGTGTTGAGTTCGTCGAACAGATCGTCAGCTTCAAATACAGCATCTTGCAACATCTCCAGCCACTTCTTGACAGCAGGGTTAGCGATCTGTTTGTCCTCAGCATCATGAAGTACAGATTGCAGGCTCAGCAGTGTTATCTCCAGCTTCTCCAACAGGTCAACGTCAAGCTTAGTCCTCCTAAACAAATCAAGAAACTCACCAGAAACAACCTTTTTCACCAACATCTCCATAGAAGCCGAAAGAAGTGCTCCTCCAACAATAGCCTCCATGACTTCGTTCAACAGAGTAAGAATAGTTTCAGAAAGAATATGCAATGCAAGGTAGACGACAGTGCAGCTTCACAAGACTTATTATTAGCGACTAGTGGATTGATTGTGTGAACCAAAATAAATTTCTTATTATTAGTGACTAGTATAATAAGTTTATATCTTTCTTGTCCATATGCATGTAGAAGTATATAAGAAAAAATTCTTGTTCACACTTTAAAATGACACAATTCAAATATGGCGGCTCTAATTTTATTCAGGCTTGACTAAAAAGTTCTATTTATGATTAACTATAATTTGCAGGTTCAAGTTAGGCTTTCGGATCGGGTATCTATTTATTAATTAGAAATTTGATTTTTTATTTAAAAAATGATTTAATTATTTAAAATATATATAAGACTTCATTACCTAATTTAATTATGAAAAACATTATAGTAATATTTAGAACAATATATTATATTTTGATAAACAACTAATACACATGTAACAAACAAAAACAAAAAACTAGAAATAATTATAATATGTGCACAAACATTGATAAACTACAAACAAAAATACTAATACATGAATATAAATACGGCAGCATTGATTGAATTTTGAATTTTGACATGATAAAAAATTGTCTTGGTTACCTACGATTCAGTCATACTAATTAGATTAAATATTAATTTCTAGTGAGTCGGGCTAAAGAAATTTGAATAATATATGCGCCTTAACTTTTTCATCCAAAGCCTTCATTTTTGTAGTTTTTGAATATGTCCGAACAGATCCGATCTATTACCTTCGTCTACCTTAGGTTGGGGTGGTTCGACAGGCACTACTTGTGGTGGTATTTGATTGTTAGGTACTCGGTGGATATGTTTTTGTGGTGCACCAAAGAAGTGAGCAAATCGATCCATTTGTTGTGTCAATTGGTGATTGAAGAAACTGGGTCAAGAAATCACATCAAAAATACAATGAAGTCGCCATCGAACATTTTTTGTCCCACAAAAAGGGAAAGGAAAGCATCTAGTAACCCTGAGAAAGGAAATGAATCGAGGTCCCGCGACCAAGAGAAAAGGGTACAGAAGTCGATTATGCAAAGGAAAGGTGTTAGCATCCCTCACGTCCGTGATACTCCACAGGATCTACTATTGTTTTTTAATCAAAGGGTGTGTTTCTATCTAAAGCTTACAAGCTAAGGGGAAATGCATGAATGCAAAGTGTATATATAAAGAAAAGGGTTGTATTAGTTGCGCCCGCTGTGGTTGCGAACATTTTGTTCCTACGTACCCCCTTCATGCAATAAGGGATCAGGGCAATCATAGTTCTTCTAGAAAATGTTGGTCTATTTGTGTTTTTTAGGCGGATAATGTTACATTCACACTCTAGCAGTTGACATATTCGACCTGACCTTTGGGGACTTACGCGTTGTTTTGCGTGGAGAGGAAATAACACATCCTTTTATGAAAAGATTTTCAAAGAAAAGCCTGAAGGCAAAAGAGTTTGAATTGGTTGGTGTTTTTTACCATGAAAAAGGATTTGAGATTTGAATCGTATTAAAGACTATGATTGGGAAAATGTACAAGGTTAGGGAATGCACCCCCTCATACTTCTCCTTAATGCTTAAGGCTCGTGACACATGGTTCGCATCATTATTGTTAAGTGTTTTGAGTGTTTGGTAAAGAAAAAGAAAGTTTTAGTTTTAAAGATGCAAAAGGGGAAAGAAAAAGTCTAACGGAAACTATATAGCCCTAATGTCATCATACAATGGTGGCCTTAAGGTTAAGGTTGAAAGGGAAATATCTACCTAATGGTAGGATGCATGGTATAGAAATCTAAGATCTATCTCAATTTGCTTCCTAAGATTGAATCGAGAAATTTAATGGAAACATGGAATAATGCGCAAGGAAGTGTTCACAAATAAAGGTGCTAACAAGCAATGTCAAGCTAAAGCAATCCAAACAGTAAGTGTGAGCTAGTAACAACAATAACCCAAGGTGGATTTTGGTGTGGGAGTCAAAAGACTCTCCTTCCACTAGAATATATCAAGCATAAATCGAGTAAAGACTTGAAGCATCAACGTTTAAGAATGCGAGCTAAGTATCTTCGAAATGAAGACAAAACGCGGGGGTCGATTACGAGCCCTCCTTCCACTTTTATTGACTCAAAGGACAAGAGAAGCACGATTCGAAGCATCAACGTGTAACGCAAGCTAAGAATGACCAAGGGACTTGAAATGTGGGGGCCGATTGCGAGCCCTCCTTCCACTTTTATTGACTTGATTGCAAGCACAAAGGAAAAAGGGGGGGGGGGGAAACAAACCAACCAATCACATGAATACATTGCCTATCAGGTAGGACTTTAAACAACTACTTTATGCCATGAAAGCGGTTTCGCAATGCCTACATGGGTAGGTCTTCAGCTCATGCATCTCTATTCCTACTTCTCATGGCAAAGAAATTAAAAGAAAATGCGGAAATAAAATAAAATGAGAAAATTACCAAATAAACAAAGGTCAGTTAACTTTGTCTAGCAAAGCACAAGAAACCTAAAGATCTTCGTGGAAGCTTCATCAACAAACAAAATAATCAGAAATTGAATGCACAATGTGAATGTCGAAACATCATCAATATGAAAATAAATCACAATCGAAAGGTGCGTCAAGGAATATCTGAATACCAAATAATAATCCTGCATAACATAAAAGTCCAGACAAACAAAGGCAATCCATAAGTCTCATGGAATGATAATCCAAGCTCAAGTGCACTAGAAACAAATCTAATCCAAAGAGGAAATGGGATAAGTATTTAACCAAATAATCAAGAATTAATAATCAGTTTCACGCGGAGAGGGGTATGGCGCGTAGAGGGATCGCGACGGGTCGGACGGGAGGAAGGCAGCCAGACGAGGGGAATGCGGTTGGACAGGCACCGTGTGGTGGCTGGCCAGTGATTGGTTAGAGAGAGAGAGAGAGAGAGAGAGAGAGAGAGAGAGAGAGAGAGAGAGAGAGAGGAGAGAGAGAGAGAGAGAGAGAGAGAGAGAGAGAGAGAGAGAGAGAGAGAGAGAGAGAGAGAGAGAGAGAGAGAGAGAGAGAGAGAGAGAGAGACTTGAGAGAGACTTGAGAGGGAGAGAAACTTGAGAACTTAAGATTTTGAGAGTAATTTTTGTGAATAATGAGCCAAAGTTCTTTTGAATATGAGTAGAAATCAATATATAGAGAGAGTCTTAAGTCATGTTTGGCATTTGGAATTGGAAAAACTAAATTTTGGAGCCAAAATTCCCTCTCTTTTTCATGTCAAATTTGGTTGCGCGGCTTTTTCATCATATTTTCATGTTCGATTTGAGATGTGCACCATAAATCGAGACCTTCTAAGCATAATTCGAACTCGGACTTTAAAGAAAATTTGTAGATAACATAATTTGTGATGTCATTCCACGAGAATCGTCTTAAAATGTTGAAAATCGATAAAGTTGTGATTTTTTCAATATTTGAGAAACAGACGACAGGAAATCTGCTTCACCACATAATTTTCAAGGAATTTGCAATTTCTAAGATTTTCCTTACAAAATTGGATCTCGACCTGAACATATGAAATGAAGAAGACATCGAGGGGATTCTTATGCCCAATGACCCACTTAAAAATATGGTTCCGCGTGTGTTGGCTCCTAAATTCGACACCTTTGTTTTGTTGATGTCAGCCATTAAAGCTGAAGGATGTTTTCGACTGGCTAAGTCTGTCGAAATGCCCGTCGAAAGATGGCAAAGTATTTAGAAGATTTCTTCCAAGGGAGAAGTTGGTTGCCTTCGACGTCGAGGGAGTTTCTCGTCGAAGATGTCTCTCGACGAAAGTGTTCGATGGTTCAGAGTGGAGCAGTTTGAAATTCAAGCGTTTGGAGGGAAAACGGTTTCCAGCAGTTACCACGTGCAAACGTGCAAGGATCTGGAGCGTCAAACGTGGAGAACGTGCCAAGTGGATTGATCTCGAAGCAGTGTAACTGCCCGACGGTTACTTGGGATGTTTTAGTATAAATAATAGTAGTCATGTAGTTTCTCGCGTGTGTTCACAATTCTATACAAAGTCACTCATATAGATTCGAGTACCCAGCGTGTGAGAAAGAATTGTTGAGAAATGTATGTGTGAAACACCAATTTTATTAATCAAAGTCATTTACTTTTCCAGAAATTTACTTGCTTTCTCCTTTACATTCCTGTCGAAGCCTTTTACTTTAAGCCTTGTTTATTTTACCAAGTCTTTCCTTCATGCAATTTACTTGAAACCTCTGTATTTAAAGCCTTATCCAATTTAATCAAACTTCAAAATCAACCTATGTCCTAGGGTCAATCTGATCGATCCTGCGAGTAACCAAATAAGTAACCATTTGGAGGATCAGCGGTTGTTTACCAAAACCCAAGGTAAACAAATTGGCACACCCGGTGGGACTGTGTGTTGATTGTTGAAAATAATCTCATCTTTTCGAGTTGTATGTTATTGAGAAGTGGTAGAATATACACTAACAATAACAATACTGCCAGAAGAAGGGAAGAGATGGCGAATCCGCCAAACACTAACGAAATCCCACAAACTAATGTGGGAGCAACGGTTAGTACGGCCGTAAGTGAAGCGACAAATGTTGGTTCGACACCAGCAGTATCGGTCACAACCACGGGGCCAATACCTTCATTAACAGGCCCCAGGATGCCTTTGGGAACTCCCCCACCAAGGGGAAATTTAGGCACAAGGCCTTTGGTTCCCCCAGGATTTATTCCATTCTATGGTATGCCAACTTCTGAAGTGGCAAGCCTGACGAATGCTGCGTCCACTTTTTCAGACCCTTTAGTGAGTGCCTCTTCGCCACTCCAAGGCTCTGGAGTAGGCATGGCGAATAGAAATAGGACCCAACTCTTAGGAGGAACGTCCCAAGTAGCCCATGGCCTTACAAATGCCTCGACAGCAGTTTTGAGGCAACAGATGGACGAAAGCAACCATGATATGGTGCAAATGTTGGCACAAACTTTGAGT